ACCGTTAAATATCGGCGGTTCTTTTCTGCAAATGCAATTGCTATTTGAAATAAACTACCCAGGAGTGTGAAAAATCTGCAAAATTATTCTTTGTTTGAGATAACTGTTACTAGATCTTTGCATTCAGAAAAACTCCCACAAATTTTGGGTGTTGAATACACTGATCGACGATACCGTAGCGGCGGCGTTTTTTGTCTCTGATCTCTGTATCCGGTCTCATCAGAGACGATTTCTTTAGCCAATAGTAACAGCTGTTCTTCGGTGTTTCTGTTCGGACCACCCCGACTTCATGAAAAGAATTGGCGACTGATAATATCCGGTAGAGTGTTACCCCTCCCTTTCTTGACTGTCGGCATTTCATGGTCAGCTGTTTTTTTCTCTTGAACCCTCTAAACTATAGAAAAAAACCAACATTAACTTTATTTTTATCTCCTTTTTGACATGAGTTTTTTTACTGCTGGCCGAATTTGTGTTTACCGCTTTCCTGACAATGCCTGTAAACTGACATCAAATACGATTATTATTATTATTACTATTATTATTATCAAATTCACGTCTCGCATATCCATTATTTGTACCTGTTTCATTGCGCGATTATCACCCGAACACAATCTTGAATGCTCCACAGTCCAAATCGGACCTTGCAGGGGATTCGCAACGCCAACCGCCTGTTGATGCTTGCGTATTTTCGTTCGCATCATTTGGCCAGACTGGCGAACATAACTTTCTCTTAGTATGCATATATGTTTGTCCCTAAAACGGGTCATGTGGTAGATGCGCTAAACTAACACGGGGACCATATTTGACTCTGGCAGGCCTTATCATAGTTGTGCACCGTAACAAATGCCATCAGTTTCGGGGTGCGGTGGCGGACCCGGCTGCCGGCGTACGTCTCGCACACTGGGATTCCTGTCACCACCCTCCCATTGTTGTTGGTCAAAAACCTGGTCATTTGCTGTGTGGACCCGGGGGTGTGGAGTGGAACGTCAAGGTGCGGGCTCGACCATTCCATCCATCTGCGTCCTTCCCCGTCTCCGGTCTTCTTGACTCTGTCTTGACACCGGGTCCAGGTAGGGGAGGAGAGGGTGCGGTAGATGCTGTGAAGTTTTCTACCACTATAAACTAAATTTTCGTTCAAGTCACCATCCCCGCTCCCACCATGCTGTGGAGATCACGGTAGACATCGTCGAAATCGAAGGTCGAACTATCACGTATGTATGCATGCATGCATGCATGTATTTGAAGGGTTAGGGGCAGTGCCCTTGATGACCCTATTTATGTGTAATGCTTTCGCAGATTTGCACTCAAAATTATGCTGCAGGCATTTACGATGTGATAGGATCACAGTATAATCGTAATGATGAGGAAGCGCATCTGTTCACTATAAGTCAGTACGGAAAGATTGTATATATATAGAAGTGTTTTGCAGAGCTGTCTGTGAATAACCATGTTGTTAAAGCCGGTCTCTGTCGAAAATCAAGCAAGCAGGTTTTATTTAAGCCTAGGAATTGTGGCGACCGTCACGATCTCACGTGGTAGCGAGTTCCATAGTCGGACGACTCGATGGCTGAATGAAAACTTCCTCGGTCTAGTCGCGTGCGTTCACTCTTGACTTTGTATGGGTGACCGCGTAACTGGTGTGTACAGGCAAACTATAAAAGGTTCTCCATTCTTAGTAAGCAACCCTGGCCACGAACAATCCGGAATGTCCAGAGTAGAAAGCAGTTCAGCTGTCTATAAGAAGGAGGGAATACGCCAAGCAAACTCCGCCTGTCCTGGTAAGTCAAATGGTTTAGACCGCCGACCATCTTCGTTGCTCTGCGTTGCACCTGTATCGGATGACTTCTCCTGTTTTGGGACTGGTCAGATTCTTCACAACAATGTAGTTTCGAATTGTACATATGAGGAATTCCAGAGTAAAAAGCATTTTCAGATAAACGATGGTCGCTGACGCCCTCCTACGCACGTGGTGTTTTACACAATGGGACTTGGCCAGGTTTTTCTTTTCTGACCCTTCCCCGTCATTGGTTTCAACCAGCTAATATCTACCGGTAAACGTTGATTCTATGTGGGGCATCGCCGTCTCTCTGTCTACTTACGCCACGTATAAGGTATCTATCTGACAACAAGGCATGCGTTCGCGAATCCTTTTTGCTCCGAGTGGTTACCGGCATAGTTTCAGATGTTCGTCGTTTTCGTCAGTCGCTCCCTAAGCTGTGACTCAAACTAGGACTTGGCCATCGCCTCAAGTCTGCCGATAGCCATAAAAACTAAGCCATTTAAACGTGCTGTTCCTGTTGTTGCTGGCAGTTATCAGTGTGATTTTTGAGCACCTTTCTCAAGGCCCAACCGCCTGCAGTGTCACTCACCCTCGCAGCTAACTGTTCCAGATGCTCTGACTTTCAGTCACTCGACCAAATTCAGCTCGAGCGCACGTACGTCCACATAATCGCAGCTGCTTGTGTTCCCTTTTAACACACCACTCCTCGCATCAGTTGAACAATACTTGAGTTTCCTCAACAAACTTATTGAGGCAGTTGCCACCGTTCCCTCTCCCAACCATGGTAGGATCCAGGCAACAGTAGCTCTGGTCTTGGTAATGACCACTGCTGCCTGAATGAGCAGTTCAGAGCTCTGCACACCAAAATTCCCCCTTTGATCCGTTATGTCTTCTCCTGCCACTCGGGACGTGGCTTGATGTTCATAGCACCTAATTTACGTAAACCATTTACACGCTACATCCTTTTTGACCTGCAAATTACTTTCTCGGAAAGACAAGCACTTCCTACGAGACCTTCGCGATTTTACAGAACACGCAGAAAATTTCCCCCATTCCCAAATGGTTCTACACTCTCGCCGAGCAAAACCTACATTTTTTGATGTAACTTTTGGCCTATGTCTTCTGTGGTGCTGCTTATCGACCCATCCCCTCTAGTTCGTTCACAGAAAGGAAATTCCTTAGGAATTTCAGCGATGGGCCCGGTAGCAACTTCCTTAAATGGATTGAAAACTTCCTTTTGGGTCGACAGCAGGTTGTGTGCATCGGGCAAGAGAAATCAGACCCTGCTATGGTCGAGAGTGGTGTCCCCCAGGGTTCAGTACTGGGACCGATTTTGTTCCTCATCTGCGTGGACGATGCCGCAAGAGCTTTAGACTGCGAAGTAGCAATGTTTGCCCATTACATGAAGATATGGAGTGTAATTCGGGGTCCTGCCGACGAAGAGAGACTGCAGATGAACTTAAATCGGTTGTAGGAGTGGTCAAACCGTTGGCTCCTGCGGTTTAACGTTGCCAAATGTACCTGCTTCGCCTAGGCAACACAGCCAGATCCGCCAGCACAAGAGACTACTTTCTGGGCGGTGCAGCCTTAAAAGAGGTCGATACCCAAAAGGACCTCGGTGTGCTGACAATCAGTTCCCTAAAGCCATCCGCCCACTGCTGGAGAGTGGTAAAAACCGCAATGTCCGTACTGTTCGCCATCAAGCGTGCGTTTATGGACTTTGACGAAGAGGTTTTCTCAAAGACATTCGGAACATTCGTCCGACCGCATTTAGAGTACGGCATACAAGGCTGGAGGCCGTGGGCTGTTGTGGATCAAAACTGCCTCGAAAGAGCCCAGAGGAGAGCCACGAAGATGGTTATGGGTCAAAGCTCCTTTCCTTATGCAACCCGCCTAGTAAATCTAAACCTCTTTCCATTGAGTTACAGGCAACTTCGCGGGGATATCTTGCAAGCCTTCCGCATTGTTAAGGGGTTGGATTGCAGTCTGGCCTTCGGGGACTTTTTTGGATTTGCTACCACGACCAACCTCCGAGGACACCCACTAAAACTGCGCACTCAGCAGGCAAGGCTGGATGTGCGGAAGTTCTCCTTCTCGGTTCGAGTGGTCAAACCATGGAATGAGCTTCCCGCAGATGTTGTGATGTCACCATCTATACAAAGTTTTAAGAGGAATCTGGACATATTTATGTTTCGAAATGACCAAGAGCGATGAAAATTAGAGCTCACGCCCTGTAACTCGTTCTCTTTTTGTCCTACCATTATGGGCGTGTTTGAACTATTTCAGCCCAGAATATTTGTCTGTATACCACACATTTTTACGTTGCAAGTAGGGTACTCAAAGGCTTACGCCTATTTCCGTCAATAAACTGATCTGAACTGTACTGAGATCGCCAGTTCCATAACATTTCAGACAACGAGATCTCCCTATTTAACAGCACAGAGATCCCCTGCGGATTTAATTGGCCCATACCAAAAGTCGAAAATTAGAAAATATCGATCCGAAGTTCGTCTTCTGAGTTTTCATGCAGTTAACTTTCAAATACATCCTACCAAGTCTTGCAAACACATAGTGAGGACAAGGTTCGAGGAGGTACACATAGCTAAGCAGTTTATTAACCCAGAGCATCTACTACCTAATAACGCAGCAATGGTCGGCATACGCGTAACTGCGACTGGGCATCAGAATATTGTTCAGGAATTCAGGCATTTGACCTAACTGCTGCGGCGAAATTCCCTGCAGCTTGGTCATGTAGGTGTCCGCATTCGTTCATCTTGGAAAAAAAACAAAAGCAGGGAATCCCTTCCTATACGTGAACTGTTATGATCGTACTAAAGTTGTTTCCTATTTCTATTTTTTAGCTGTTTTGTTACTTTCGCGCATTTCATATCTTGAAGTGTTTGTACGGTTGTGTTTATCCGCGATTTTGTCGAAGTTTCAACTGCTCCGTGTCGTTTTTATTCTATCGCCAGCTTTCCTGGATCTGTGCTGTGTCCTCGGGCAGTCGGTTCGGGTTTCAGCCCGTACGTATTTCTTTTCAGTATTGGTTACTAAATGTTCTGAAACATAAGCAAATGTCAATTCCATCGAATCTAAGCAATCAGCGTATGTATTCCAATCTTAGTTAGTGCTTATGAGCTCTTTCTCTGAGCGATTTTGTTTAAATACTCCTGTGTTACATTCGACTTTCGGTCTGGGTTTTCTTTGAAAGCTGTGTGCGATGTTCGAGGCTCGTCTTCAGCAGGCAGATGTTTGGAAGAAAATAATCGATGCTGTGAAAGATCTCGTTCAAGAGGCAACTCTTGATTGTTCCGACAGCGGAATTAGCCTGCAGGCTATGGACAGTGCACATGTGAGCCTGGTTTCTTTGCTCCTACGCAGCGATGGCTTTGAGACATACCGCTGCGACAGAAATATCTCTTTGGGTCTAAACATAACCAGGCAGGTTTCTCGAGAAATACTAATTTTCCAGTGCTTCCAAAATCCTTAAATGTGCTGGTGGAACAGATTCAGTCACGCTTAAGGCGGGAGACCAGGCGGACACAATCACTTTCCTCTTCGAATCTCGAAGTAAGTGGTAGTTTTCCTTTTAATATTTTTCAGATCAAGAGAAGGTATCCGAGTTCGAGATTAAGTTGATGGATTTGGATGTGGACCACTTGGGAATCCCGGTACGGACTCATGCTTACGTTTATTTTCCATAGGAAACCGATTACAAGTGTGTTATAAAAATGCCAGCCTCCGAGCTCCAAAGAATTTGCCGAGATCTCGGTCAAATTGGTGACTCGGTCGTTATTTCTGTTGCTAAGGATGGCGTGCGGTTCAGCTCTACTGGTGATCTTGGGTCTGGAAACATTAAGCTTGCTCAGACCGCCAACGCCGATAAACCTGAGGAGTCGGTGTCAATAGAAATGAGTGAAGCCGTCAGCATGACTTATTCCCTGCACTACTTCAATATATTTGCTAAAGCTGCACCGCTCTCCAGCCAAGTTACGCTTTCCCTGACAGAAAATGTTCCTGCAGGTAATATTTCCTCCTCGCTAACTCTTGGTAGTGGTCGAATTCTCAATTGAGGAACTTGGCTATATTCGCTACTACCTGGCTCCGAAGATTG